AGTTGGGACGATATGTAGCCTTTCAGCTTTGGAGCGCTTCTGCTCATGGTCGCTTTTCGTCAGAATGCTATGAAACTATCAGACCCTGTCATCGCGCAATCCACAGTAAAAATCGCAACATGCACCAAGCCATAGTACGCTATTATTCGTCACAGATCTACCGTTCCCACGCCAAGTAAAAACTAGGAAGTCGCTTATAACGGTGGTATGCCTAGTTCTATGCGTCTGTCTCTTTGACCACCATCTTCCGGTTCGACATGGCCCTCCTTGATTCGAAAGCTCACGCCGAGCACCCGTCGCCCACGGCCAACTATAGCGACGATGACTTCCAACGAATGGATCCCAGTGGAGTCAAGCGAGGCCTCAAAACTCGTCATCTGTCCATGATGGCGCTCGCTGGAATCATTGGGCCTGGTATTCTGGTCGGTACTGGTGGCGCCCTCGCAGAAGGAGGACCGGCATCTCTGCTCATAGCTTTCAGCGTTATCGGATTCATCGCTTTCAGCATTACGCAATCCTTGGGAGAGATGACAACTCTGTACCCTACTGGTGGTGCTTTCGTCACGCTTTCCGACCGATTTGTCGACAAAGCATTCGGAGTAGCGGTGGGATGGCAGTACTGGCTGGTGTGGGCATGCGTGCTAGCCAACGAGTACAATGTCATCTCCTCTATTCTGGTCTTTTGGGGTCCTGAGGTGCCTCTATGGGGCTACTTTCTAATCTTCTGGTTTGCTTTCCTAGGCTTCCAGATGTTGGGCGTCGAGTCTTTCGGCGAAGCGGAGTTCTGGCTTGCCCTGATCAAGCTTGCTGGTCTTTGCGCCTATTTCATCTTTGCCATCATCTATGCTTCTGGCGGTCTCATCGGGCAAGATGAAGCACTCGGATTCCGGTACTGGAACGACCCCGGCCCCTGGGTAGACGGCTTCCGTGGAGTAGCCACAGTCTTCGTTTTCGCTTCGACGTTTTACGCCGGCGTCGAGGCGGTTGCTGTGGCCGCTACAGAGACCAGAAACCCATCGGTAGCTGTACCTCTGGCAATTCGACAAGTCATTTGGCGAATTCTCTTCGTATACATCGGAGTTGCCTTCTTCTTTGGGCTCACATGCCCTTCGGATGCAGACGGCCTAGCGAACGGAGCCAGCCGCGCACTTAAGAGCCCTATGACCATAGCGATCCAAAACGCTGGATGGCAAGGAGGCGTGCATTTGATCAATGCGTTCATCTTTATCACAGTCCTGAGCGCTGCGAACAGCTCAATTTACATTGGGTCTCGAACGATACTCTTCATGGCACAAGAGAAAATGGCGCCGAAGTTCCTTGGGAGGACGAACAGCCGTGGAGTACCAATCTACGCCATTGTCTTCACGAACCTGTTCGGCGCGATATCCATGATGAACGTCAGTACTGGAGGTGGCCAGGCGTATTCCTACATCGTCAATCTGAGCGGTGTCTCTACCTTCCTTGTTTGGGGTTCTATCTCCTTTACGCACATCCGCTTCCGGAAAGCTTGGAAAGCACAAGGTCGAACGCCCGACATGTTACCTTTCAAGTCGCTCGCTTACCCGTGGAATGCCTACTTTGGGGTATCAGCCAACATATTCCTCGCTCTTGTTCAGGGCTGGACTACGCTGAGCCCATTTGATGCAGGCACATTTGTCGACGCTTACATTATGTTGCCGGTGTTCGGGATCATGTTTGTGGGATACAAAATCATATTCAAGACAAGTTTCAGGCGCAGCCACGAGGTTGATCTTGACACGGGAATGAGGAAGGACTTGGATATGAAGGACGAATACGTGCAGACGGAACCGCATACCGAGCCGCGAGTGAAGCAAGGTTTCGTCCAGAACCTCTGGCGAAATTTCTGAGTAACATGATCAGTGTATTTGGTCGCCTATACGACAATACAAGAATCCACAAAACTGTAATTCTATCATGCGACTCTCATTCGCGCAAATGCAAGTAGCTACGAAATAAGGCTGACAATGGCTGCTTGCTGATAAATGATACCAAGCGCTTCACGCGACAATTCGCGGTGCATGCCTTTTTGAGTGACCCAATCGGTCTGAAAACCCCGCATCAATCGCCTTGGACTATACCACAATCTAATAATAACGGTTCACTAGGGTCTAGAAGGATGCGACTCCGTCAAATTCTCTCGTGGCATTACGCCCAGGAGGATCGCAAACCCTGTCGTGCTGTCGTCTCATTGGCCAGATTTGATAATAATAGCCGTGGGCCTCTGCTCGCGGGCCTGGTCGCGGTAGCCTAACTGTGTGGGCAACCACGCCGCAATGCTGCATACCTAGGTAGTGCCATGCAGCCTCCCGAGTTACTCTTCAACCACCGATGTCATTTGCGCAGTCGTACATTGTTCAATCCGTACTTGCTACACGCTCGCTCGTATAATTGAATTTCGCTGACTCCCCTCCCATTGGTCGGATGAAACTCGACCAAATTAACATGGCGACGGTGTCCGGTAAACCACGCCAGAGAGCCTGGAAACCCAAAGCACGCTCTGGCTGTAAAACTTGCAAGTAAGTCGCTGCGTCAATTATAAAGTGTGCCTATCGTCATAGCACGGTATGGCTTGCACTTTGTTTGTGGCTGGGCTCATAGCCCGCAAAGCTCCCGCCGCCCACCGATAAGCCATTCTTCAGCTCCAAGCCGCATCGTCATCAAATCCCACCACACATGAACTTGAAGCTGAATATGTCGTCTTTTAGTACTACTATGCATCCAATGGCCTCTTGCTAATCTGTACAGAATACGCAAAGTCAAGTGTGATGAGGAGAAACCGAACTGCAGACGATGCACCTCAACGGGCCGTACGTGCGATGGCTACGATCCGACTTTCAGACCTCCACCACCATCAACGCCCTCGCCTCCAGAGTCATCGAAAAGTTCACCTCAGTCGGTATCAAGTTGGAGCTTGACGCGGTCTCATTCGCCAGTGTTCATCGCTCCAGCCATTCGTCTTGATACCAAAGAGGAGCGGGACAGCTTCGAGTTTTTCATGACGCATGCCGTTTCAAATCTGCGCGGATTCCTCGATTCGCCGTTCTGGCAACGAGAACTGCTTCAAGCCGCTCATCGTGAGCCCGCGATTCAACATTGCATCATCGCCTTGGGCGCTATGTATCGACGCTTTTCCGAAGGCTGCGACTCACGTCTGACCGAGACAGCCATACTGGATAATTACCTACAATTCGCTTTGCGACAGTCGAATCAAGCAATTCAGGACTTGTTGAAAAAGCCGAAGAGCAACGACAAAGTAGTCAAATCAGATAAGATCACGCTTATGACCTGCGCTATTCTGTTCACCAGCATGTGTTGTTTGCAAGGCTACCAAAGAGACGCAATCGAACACGTACGCAGCGGCATCCGGATGTTAAACGAAGTGGACCAAGGGAAAGAAAAGTTTGATCACCCAATAGAACTGGAGTCTATACGTACCATTTTTGTGGGATTCGATACGCAGATTAGGGCGATAATGCCAACGCACATCTCACCATCCTGGGTCGCGAAGCCCAAGACTAGACCGCTGGGCAGTTCAACAAACACGCTGAGTATGTCTGCGCTACACGCGATGTTGGGACACACACAGAGCCTACTAAACAGCATCCACGCCTTCAACCAAAGAACCAAATTACGCCCCGCCGACGAAGTCGAAGAAGTATACATCGAATACCTCGACCTCATCTCACGCTACCACCGCGGCAAACTCACCATGGACAATCTCTGGAAGCAAGCCCCTGCTTACGGCGAAGAATACACCGAACCCCTCACGGCATTGGAACTAACACAAGCCCAAATGGAATTCCTCCTCCGCGCCCCACGAGCCGATCTTATGCAAAAATTCCCCTGTCTAGGCGACTTCAAACCTGCGCGGAAACCTTTCATCGAACCCTTCGACATGGCTGCACAATTTGTGCTCATCTTCGAACTCGCTGCTAAACTCCTCCCTCTTTCAGGCGCGCAGACGCCCATCTTCCAGACACCCGTTGGTCCCACATCCGCGCTCTGGGCCATCGCCGTCCGCGCACCGTCTTCATGTCAAGCACTACGCAAGCGCGCTGTAAAGCTCATGTTGAGCCATCCCCGGCGGGAAGGCTTCTGGGATGGCATGCTTGCGGGGCAGATTGCGGAAGAGGCGTTGAGGTTGGAACAAGAACGTGCGCGAGCGGAGATGGGTATCGAGGAAGATGAGTTATGTGCGGAGCTGGAGGTGCCGGAGCATTTGCGCATTATTGCGTTCTATTTGACGCATCCGAAAGACAGTGATCGGACGGTCAAGGTTGAGTTTTCGGATGCGAGGGATTTGGCAATTGGGATTCCGGGGTCGGTTAAGTGGATTACTTGGTAGAAAGGTGTTCACCTGAGGTATGAGAGAGTACCAACCTGTTCTTCACTGCTGTGTCGGCACTTCGAGATGTGGACCGATGGCGACCGGCGATGATTTCCTCCACGTCATGTCGCAACGCACGACAGTCTGCGATCTCCCGTCAACCCCAAAAGCCCGAGTCTGGCCTTACATTCGCTCAAGACATTAGCCAAGAGACTTCTCGCGTCCATCGCTGCTCTACATCCGATCAGCTCTGAATGGAGGAAGACCTTGTCCCTCGCTTCGCCAGACTACTCCAACTGCGGACAAAGACATTGTCTTATCGTCACATGAAGAGGGCAAAAGGGTTAAAGAGCACGTCGTGCAATGCACTCAAAACCAAAGAGTGCGCAATTGGAATGGAAATGGATCCATTAAAGCACGATAGCGAAGGAGGATACCAGGAACTGAAGAGAAGAGGCTGAAACCCAGCAGACTATTCATATGGTCTGGTGGACCGCTCGTTCGGATAAACATAAAAGATATCTCGCTGAATGTATCGTACAAAGAGAAATATATAGTCAGCAGTCCAGGAAACCGCACATGCATGCCACACAGTAGCCGTGCCAGTCCTTCACAAACACCCTTGTCCTCTCCGTAAACAATAACAGACATCCTAAGCCCCCTCCTCACCCATCAAAAACGCATCCAGATCACTCACACCCAATCTCCCACCCGCCCTCCTCACCATCCCCGCCGCACCCCTCGCCGCAACATCCCCCTTCTTCCAATTAACCCAACTCGTACTCACAATCCTCGTTTCGGGCTTCGGCCTAGCCGTCAGCCTCAGGCCCGTTCCTAGACTACCTCTCAGGACCTTCATATCAATCTTGCCGCCGCGGATACTGCGCAGGATGTGCGAGACAGGGCTGTTGTCGTCGCCCCAGACGGAGCCGTACGAGTCTTCGCCTGGGAAGAGGATGCGGGTTGTGAGCTTTGTGAGGGGCGTGGTTTGTTTGGGAAAGAGGGTCGTGATGAGGTGTGCGAGGGCGGCGGGGGCTTCGGCCGAGGTGGAGGCGGAGAAGGACGGGAAGGTCGTGTGTATGCTGGTTGTTTGGCGGGATTCGCGGGGGAGGGGAGGGTCGAGACGGAGGCGCGGGCGCGAGGCGTTGACCGAGACGCCGTGGCGGGCTGTTCGTCGGGAGGAGGAGCGCGTGAAGCTCGTTGCTGGTCCTGATGATGGGGTGGTAAAAGATGGTGCTGCAAAGCTGCTGGATGGCGTCAAGCGCTCATCATGGCTTGTCTGGAGATCTCGTGGATCGACCTGGTTCTCTTGCTGGGGTGTGTAGTAGCCAGAGATGTAGACTCGACGCGCTTGTTTCAACAGGTAGGGGTATTGGTGCTTCAATACCAAGACGCCGTAAGGATAAGACACGTAAAGTGACAGGCCTTCCTGGTCTTCTTCGTTGTCGTGAACGACTCCGTCGGCATCAACAGTAGAACGCGCCTGCGCGATATGTCTCCGCCTACGAACACAATCGTTCAACTCGTCATTGATCAATCGGGACGTCAACATCAGCGCCACGGCAGCGGGGAAGCCCAGCTTCTCGCCCTCAATGTCTTCCATGTGTCCATTCTCGACGGCAATCGTGGGTGGCTTCGCGACTGAGAGGAGAGATGCATCGTGGTGGCGGCGTGCCAGCGGCGCGAGATCGAGTGGTAGACCTGGAACTTCCGTCTTCCGGGCGCGGTCCTGTATCCTGTTGCCAAAACACGTAGTGTAGCCAGCACTAATCGTGATTGCGTGCGGTTCGGTGAGGAGGTAGTCGTAGATTTGGCATCGTATCTCAGTGGGTATCGATAAGAAGCCGCTGTAGCTGCTGCTATCCGTCACGCTCATGTTGTAATCGTAATCGTGAAAAATTTGTGGTATTCAATGGTGCCAAATGTATGGGTCTCTAGCGGAATTTATTGTAGCAAAAGTTGATCAAGAGTAAAAACAACGTGTCCAACGACGTGTTGTTGTAAGGATGAGTGAAGGATGATGTCGACGAATCATGGATGTGGGGTGTGGAGCGGTGAAACAAACAGATGCCCTGCAGGAGCGAGTCACCGCGAGTCCCGGTGGCGGCCCCAGAGCCTCACGCGACGAGGCTGGCCAACATTCCACAGACGCCCAATCACGATTTTGCAAACGTCTGTTTGTTTACGCCAAGATGTATGCAGTTATGACTCCTCCCTTACGCTACGGTAGGTCCGTGGAGCTAATCATCCTCACTATCTTCCGCTCTTTGTTGCTCAGCCAACTTCTGCGCTTGTTCCCACTGCATCGCAAATTCTCGCAGTTGACCCTCTCCACCGCTACTTGCATCTACTACGTCTTTCGGAAGCTTGTGCGCACTGTACTGTGGAGTCGAGAAGCCGTATGCCTCGGGGTCATCTCTCCGTACGAGGCGAAACTCTGGCTGCCATAGCTCCTCAATGTCGTCCTCATCTGTGTCTTCATCCTCGTCTGAGGTGTCACTAGCTGCCTCAACTGGCACGCCCTTGTCTTCCGGTTGCGCGATCTTCAGACGCACAGTTGTTTCCTCGAGAGGTGTTGCGTCGGGTACCTCCATTGTAAGGAGTTCCATCCATGAGAAGATCAGAGGATCAGTCCGCACAGCCCATGGGTTGAAATCGACCACCCAGACCTTGTCGTGCGGCGGCGGTACGTATACGTCGAAGGTGAAGTTGGGATCGGGAAACGTGTCGCGCAGTTTCGCGTCGAAGAAGTCTTGAATGGTATCTCGCAGCTTGTCCTGCATGTTGAACAAGAAGTCAAAGTGGTTCAGATCTCGCTGGCACAGGGCAATCAGCCGGCGATTCCGCACAAAGCATCGGAACTCGACGCTTGGATTCAGCGTGATCCACTTCCTCAAGACGAGATGATAGGGAATCTCCGGGTCTGGTGTTGTAGATCGGTTGGCAGTGTCGTCAAAGGCGTGCGCCAGATCGTGTGTGACAAAGTCGCTGCTTTTCAGCAGCAGGTAGATGTCGTTTGGTGTCCGGCACTCCATGCTGTTGGTTGCGGCTATCCAAGTCGCGTCTTTTGGCGCGCTCCAGTTCAGCTTGGGTGCGACTTTGCCGCCCAATTCCTCGATGGTCCGCTCGATGGCTTCGTGTGTGTCGCGCCAGTTGGCGCTCGGGTCTTGAGCTTCGTCCTCATCGTCGTCGTTGTTGTCCGCACCCGAGAATATGCCGCTGTCATTGTCTGACCACGAAGGGTCGTCGTTCTCTTCGGGAGGGAGGATGATGCCGTCTGATCGGAGGTAGTCGAGGAAGGCGGGTGGGAGGGGGATGAGACGCGCTTTGGGTGTCACGGCGCGGTACCTATTGCAATTAGATGAAGATCTAAGAACGGGAAGGAGTAGAGACTAACTTGGGATGCCATTTGTGGTATGAGCAGTTCAGGATGTGCTCTTTGGTGACTGGTGGGAAGGGCAGTTCTCTGTACCCCACCTCAACCGGCCCTGAGGTGGTGTCGTCGCTTGTGGCGTCTTGTGTAGTCATGGTGGTCGTGAATTGTGTGAGAAGGGATGAGAGCGAAATCTCTTAAGTTTTATATCGCAAGGCAATGACTCCATCTCTGGGTGAGTCTGCGCAGTACCAAGGGTAAAGTTTTGGTGGGGCGAGCCATTCCATCATTGCGCTTGGGCCTCCGTGCTCACCTCCGAGCTCTCCGCAAACCATCCCATCATTCTCGCCCTCCAACGCGACACCCATCTCCACCCACCACATCACTAAGCATCATGGCCGACAACGTAGGCCTCACCACGCCAAGAGGTAGCGGAACCTCGGGCTACGTCCAGAAGAACCGATCCCTCCTCCGACCGCGCGACAAGATCCAGCCCTACCCCAAAGATTGGGAACATGCCAAACACCGCCCAAGACAACCAGACGCCGAGATCCTCGAACACGAAGCAAAGCGCGACATCGAAGTCAAGGTCCTTGAGCTGCGCGACAAGCTTGAAGACGAAGGCGTCGACGAAGACGAGATTGACGACCAGTGCGAAGGCCTACGCCGCAAACTCGATCAGGAACGAAAAGACGGCAAAGATCTCGGTCCTAATGCGAAGCGCCTCAAGTCGCACCAAGTCCACGACCTTGCCAAAGCAAAGGCAGAAGAGAGCGAGAGGTTGCGCAAAGCCCTGGGCATCAGCGCAGACTATGAGGAAGGAAGTCACTGGAGGAAGCAAGAGGAGAGAATGCGCGACAGTCTAGCCAAGAGGGAGGCCGAAGACGAAGAAAGGACTGCCAGAGCGAAAGAAGCCAGGCGGCATAGGGAGGACGACTCGGATTGAGCTTCTGCGAGTCTGCTATTTGGCGTTATGATCCTTTCCGATACCCATAGCCACTGTGCACCACCCTGAAGGCATGGCATTACTGCCTGGAGACTAGCATCCGAAAATCGGTCTCTGGCATCTCTACGACATACCTCTAGTACCAAAGATAGCGACTGTCGATTACTGGTGCGGAAGCTGGAGGCACAGACAGGTCAGCTTCGTCTTCCAGCTTACAGTCTAAGAAGCAGACTGACTTCAACAGATGAGATCTAAACGAGCACCCAGTGTACCCTTGTCTACTGGCTTTTGGTTCTAATGCAGGAACCCTTTACACCATGTCAATTGACTTGACTTGACTGCTTCCGTGACGTCTCACCTCCACTGATGCGCACCTAGGATAACGCGCCGCTCACAAGCGACATTAGTTTGCATGCGCGGGATACCTATCTCCACTCCGGCGTATCTTTCGGTACTGAATAGACCTGTCAAGAGAACGGAGGCGTACCGCACATTGCGCAAGGTGCTTTGCTAGGGCTTCATCTTCACCACACCTCGTTCGCCTTATCACAAGTAACGATACCACATCTAATACACGCATTGTGACAGCCACTACAGCTGAACGATGAATCTTGTCCGTCTGCAACGCACTGTTCGGGTTGGCATTTCTTATCGGCCTAGGTGCTTACCCCAGGCGGTCCAGCTGTCGGCCCACGTGGGTCACCTGAATGGCCAGCTTTTGACGGGCGCGCCAAGTCCTCACAACGACTGGGGTCATGCCCGTGCAACTTGGCTCGCAAACGCTCCACGCCGTCTTTTCCATTAACACGAACGACAGGGCTCTTGCAATGCCTCCTCGTCACCGATGCGGGCGTCATTTTCTATGAACACCCACGGGACGCCGTAGAGTACCGCATGCGATAGCCCACTCACCTAATTGGTCCATTCCTCAACACCAGCGTTCCGGCATCGTGGACGTATAAACCAGGTCTCTCCGCATTTGCGGGCTAGCTGTCTCTTCCCGTAGCAACACCACCGCACGTTACGTGCCCCGACTGTCACCATGGTCCGGCCTATCGCTGTCATGCGCGAGACATGGAACATCTACACTCCTGTCGAACGACGGAACATCGGCATCTACATCGCCGGCATCATGATGTACAAGTTCGGCCTCGAGGCATTCAACGGATCTGTCATTGCGCTTGCGACAAATCGATACGATGAACTCGAGAAGAAAACGCACATCTCCATTACTTTTCAACGTGTCGGCGTCTTGACTGGACTGAATCAAGCCTTTCAGTGTGTTGGATCTATACTGATCGCGCCACTCATCAAAAGATATCCGACGAAGAACGTTCTGGCATGTGCAGTGCTTATATTCGCCTTCATGAGCAGCGTCTTGCTCATCTTAGACGCTGCAACTGGCGGCAAGTTCGCACCGCGCGGATGGGCAAAGGATGACTTCAGCTACTACGGTGACTATGATACCGACGCCATGATCCCCATCTGTAAGTTCATAGCCCCAGTCTACCTAACGGTTCGATATGTCGGTCACCTTTGTTCTCATGTCTGCTACCGCCAGAGCTGTCGCTGGCGGGTGCTGTAAAGAGCAGCAGGTACTTGTTCTCATCTGATTCCATGTTGCTGACGAACGCTAGATTGCGTCTGTGGTATAGTCTACGGCATGGTCGAATTGATCCGGCGAGTCATTCCGCGCGACTTGGTTGGCGGCAACATCCAAAAGCTTCGACGTATGGACTCTCTGGTCCATATCTTCTACGAGATCAGCGGCACTGCTGGTGCCTTTTGCACAGCACTTGCGCTCATTCCCCGGTTCGGCAACAACTTCAGCTTCATTATCACGCCCATATTCTTCGCCGCCGCATCCATACTCTGGTACTTCATTGAGGAAGCCAGCATACCGAAGGAAGGCAGATCTCTGATCTTGGAGAGTCAGCCAACCTATGTCAAGGCCGTGATAGGCGGATTCTACCTCTTCTTCGAGTCCGTTGGAACCGGTGCTAAGATCATCTTCAAGCACCGCAAGTTTATCTGGCTGTTACCCGGATATGCTGTCGCGCTTTATGCGCACCGATACCTCGAGAACGCAATCGCTCCTGCCGTAGCACGCCGCTATTTCGGAAACTCGGCATGGTCACAGATCATAGTGGGAGGCTCAAACTTCGGCGAACTGCTAGGAGCGCTGTTTGTATTCATGTTCACGAACTTGGTGCACACTCCGATACCATGGCTTCGGCTAGACGCCCTGGCTCTCCTGATAGTCTGGTATCTACCTTTCTGGAACCCACCCAAGAACGACGTGGCTCAAGCTTGGATCGTGGGAGCGACGTTCCTCCCCATCAGTTTCGGGTGGGCTGCCGGCGACGTATCGCTCGCCGCATACATTCAGGCATCACTAGCGCGCATCGAGTCGAAGACTCAGAACGTATCTGCACTCGGTGCCGTCATGGCGTTCCTCTACAGCACATACATCGTCACGTACGCGATCGCATCCGTTTCCCTCGGGACCTACATCGACCGCGTTTCCGATCGCCACAACGAACAGATACACGGGGCTGTGTTGAACGTGGCTGCTGTACAGTTCACCATCATCAGTGTGCTGGTCTTGACGAGTACCTTTGTGCCGAAAGGCGCCTTTGCACTAAACCCCAAGATGCTCAGTGAGGAGGACCTGGATACCGATTTGGAGGACGAGGATCTGGAGTATGTACCCGGAGTTCAGGTCAAAGGCAAGCGAAGCTACGAAAGCCACGAGATGACCAGTAGAACGAACAGCTTGGATTAGCGACACGTGAGAATGATTTGGATGAGGCTTGTAACGAATATAACTTTCCCATCTTAATGCGACAGGAAATTGCTCCTCTGGCCACGTATCACAATGCGAAAGAAACAACATGTGCGTGCAGACACCTTGATGTCCAGCCAAATAGCATTAGCAGACTGTGCGGGGTATCTTGTCTGAACCGCTACATTGTAGATGGATAATACTTTGAGCACGACCTCGATCATCATGATCTGACCACCATATCGTGGGCCGGCAGAAGCCGCGACAGCACTTCCAATGTTTCTATAGTGATCTCCAGCACGTGTGTTCTTGTGCAGCGCTCATTGATCCCCACGACTACATGTAAGCTATCGGCTGTTTCATCGACGGCTCCGAATATAGAAGGTGACCTCCGCGACGTTCCGTCTCGGTAGACTGGAGTAGCTTCCGTAGCGGAGGCTCGACCCTGCGCACGGAGGGAATGTCACTTGATTGCAGCGCTGAGCAGTAAGAGTGGCAACTAAGCACTCGGCGTCCTGGGTTCGAGACAACCTTGGAAGGGGCGCTTTAGCATGCGTCGACGCGCCAAGCCCATGTGCTCACGGGGCGAGGTTTGGTTGGCTCAGCCACGCATTCACGCACCTCCAAGTCAGCAGCAACACCACGTCTTTGGGTTGCGCCAAGCAAAAGCTTCGCTCACAATCAGTCGCGCTGCGGACGCCATTTGCTTTTAACGGCCCAGTGCAAGCATGCGCGGAATTCCTTCCAGATCGCGCGTCTACTACGCCTTGTTGCGACCGCTGCTCTCGACCCATGGATGAGGCCGACTTCGACGGCTCACGCATAACACCTGTACCCGCCTGCTACGCGGCTGTACGTGCGCAGCCCAGCTGAACAAGCTCAAGATCCCCAGAGCCTTGGACCCGTCGCTTTCGTGCTTTCGCTCTGGTCTTTGTTGGCGCCTTGTTTCGATACCCCGTCATTGTTGTTGTTGCCTCTTGTGGGTGGTAGCCCAGTCTGACATCCAACCCGCATTAGGCACGCCTCTGCCATCTGGTACACTGTTGCTACGACTACCGCTTGTCGGAGACTTCTACAAAATCACATCCACCGCAAAGCGTCTGGTGTTGCGGCTCGATGAATCATGCAGCCATATCCTCAGCCGAGTGGACCGCCCGGTAACGACAGAAATGAAGGCGGGCATCGGGGTCCGCTGAGTAGAACATGGCCACAGTTGTTCAAAAAGAGAAGGAGATATAGTCCGGTTAGGGAGAGCGCCCAACAGCAACAAGAACAGCAACAACACGTACAGCAGATGCAGCACGTGCAAATGCAACCAGCACCGCAAACACAGCCACAGCAACAACCCGTGCAATTACCAATACATCCCATCCGCCCATTGAAATCGCCATCAGTAACAACGCAATCTGTCACATCACCCACAGTATCTTCGATAAGATCTCCGTCAATAGCAGCAGACACCGCGAGCACTCTATCATCAATATCCCATGCATCATCCGCAACACCGAAGAAAGTCGCCATCGCAAGAAGAAGCAGTAATATAGTACCTGCTGACAGTAATGGTATGCCTCACTCTTCGTCGTCAAGTCCCGTGACCTCAATCTCACCCAAACAACACAAACGCAAAACCTAGTATACAACTAACTCCTCCCAGGCGCCGGTGGCGTAACAACCCCCCAAGCCGATCTCCTAGCTTCCAAATCAAACTACGAACTAATCTCCTCTGGCCAACACCTAGAAATGGGCCTCCACTTCAGCACCGCCATGGCCACAGGCGTAATGATGAAGCGCGCCACCCACCGCGCCGCCGAACAAGCCCGGCGCGACCGCATGAAAACCGCAATGGTAGATCTAGCTGAGTTCTTACTCGACGGCGAAGTTACTTTTGGTAGTGGAACCACATGTTTTGTTGTTATGAGAGGGAAAGACGGCGAGGATGGGAGTGAGAAGGTGACGGATGGTGCCGATGACGATGTGAGGAATGGGAAGGGTTCTGTACCCGGGGAGAAGAAGACGGTTAATAAAGCGCGGTTGATAGAGATGGCGTTGGAGAAGATGAAGGCTCAGGAGAAGGAGATTGAGCTGCTGCGCAAGGAGATTGAGGGCTTGAGGGCGGGTGGGGATAGTATGGATGTGTCGTAGAGCCCACACCTGCATACGACGCCCTGTGTGGTTTGTTGGAGACGAGGGGAGAAGGTGGGCTGGGTCGGAGCATATTTTCTTTTCTAACCTGAGATATCCATCATGCATGGCGTTTGGACATTTTTTTTTCGGCATACAGTTCGACCGCATGTAAATTCCTTAGCATAGGCACTAGAAACACGATATAGCATGGGACGATCAACTGCTGAACAAACTCGACTGGACGTCTTGCACCGGACCCATCGTGGCGTTCGAACCAAGTGGGGTTTCCACACGGGAACCATGGCCGTTAGTTCTGAGCCTCAAACAAGTTCGATCTGCCCAGTCTCCGCGGAGTGTAGACTATGGAAAGCGAGCACTACGTTGTCAGCCCAATGGAACTGCAGGGTGAAGAGTAGTAATGGTCTCATTGGTTCATGTCTACGTATAATTATCTACGCGAGCAGTGCGAAGAGCAGATACGTCTTCTTCGCATAATCCACCGCGTTCTTCCTCAGCCTGTTGATAGCAACCTCGTCCAAGTCCACCATGTCGGTTTTCTGTACCAGCGCGGTGAGTTTGGCATCGTCTGCACCTGTGTCACCGACAAAGCGTTGGATGTAGAGAAGATCGAAAAGCAGTTGCTTGACTCTCTGTTCTTTTGCTTCCTTATGGTCTGGTAATGATGCGGTGACGTCTGCTTTCTCCCCATCGTCCGTGGTTTTGGAGTCTTCGGCTCCATCTTCCTCTTTGCCTTCGTCTTTCTCCTGGAAAGAAGGGCTTTGCTCTTTTGTAGGCGCGCTGATGGCGTCGAGATGCTGCTGAACCGTTTTGACTACTTCCTTGGCGACGCTACTCTTCAGGACCTCGACGCTGCCGGGCGCCCATACATCACTGCCCAGCGCGCCCATGTCTTTGTTTAGACCCCGCAGGAATCTGAAAGCGCTGGGTGACGGCTGGCTCGGTAGTGGTGGGTGTCCTTCCCACAGGATGTGGCTGTTCGTCTTCCCTTTAAGTGAACCTTGAAGCGATGTCTTGTATGCTTCCACGCTTGGTCTCGTGACGCGTAACGCGAGTGTAGTATGCAAAGGTTGAAGAATCTCTAGCGTAAAGGGTGACGCAAGAGGTGTGGCTTTATCTTGGAGGCGTAACCGCGGTATCCGATCGCCGATTTCCCTGACTACGCGCAGCATGAAAGTGGCCTTCTGTGTTGATTGCTCACCATCAGACTTCTTCACGATAGTATTGAAGCTCCGGCTTAAGTTTTGCATGGCTTCGCTCAAGGCTTCCTGGGTAGCTTCCTCGAGCAGTTTTGGATCGTCATCGCTGAGAAGTGCTTGCTTCGAACCGCCAAGCTCATCGTCGGATTCCTCGTCTACATCGTCTGCGAAGGTGTCGTCCCATCGTGCTTCCTTCATGCTCTTGACGATACCCTTGACTTCCAGGATAGACTCCATCCAGTTGTCAAAGGCAGAAGTTACGCTGATGACAGACTCATCGCGCCCTTGGTAGGTGTTGAGTATAGCAGACTTGAAGTTTTGTGCCCCGTTGCTCAGATCAGAAGCCCTGGTAGTGGTATCCCATAGCGAAGGTGCCACGACCTTGTCTGTTGAAGCCACCGTGTCCAGTCGAGTCGTCAGCTCGGTAACGACAGTTTGTAGCCCATGTGTGCGCGATCGCATTATGCCCTCAAGCTTATCGTTCATCGTGTCTCGTAGATCGTCTAAAACGTTGGCCGACTTAACACCCGCCATTCGTGAGCCAGACAATATCCAGGTCTCGATCAGCTCTTGCCTCAAGTCTGCAACCTCTTTGAGTCGTTCTTCACCGTCTAGTGCTTTTTGCACACCCTTGAGGAAAGCGGCAATAGCGTCCTTTGACCATCGGTGCATTATCCGCTCTGCTTCCGGCCGCTGCAACTCGTCGTGTCTTGGCCATGGCGTGTAGTTCCGTGCCTCATCGCCTAACCACCGATCATGTACTTCGAGGTTCAGCTCGTAGAGACCACGGACGTCGGGGTCCTGGATCAATGGCTGTGCCTTCAGTTTTGCCAGTGCCTCTGCTAAGCGCCGCGGAAAGATGGTCTGTGTATCGAGACAAGTCTGAATGCACAGCTTGAGCGCACTAATGCCATGCTTCGCAAGCTCATCGCCTCCTGCCCTCAGCTCGCTGTTCATCTTGTCCAATCGCATCTTATGGAAATGGTGTAGGACATCGGTCGGGGTGGAACTCGTCGCGAGCGCGTAGGCACACATGCTTTCGAGCAGGCTGGCTGTTTCGCCGTTCGTGTTCGAGAGGCGCTTGTCAATCCTCCTGAGGAGCTTCCGCCGTACCGACAGCAGTCTCTCCCACAGCTGATTGACAATGGGCGCCTTGTTGTCGGATTGACTGAGCGACTTGTGGAGTAGTCTTGAGATGACCAGGACTTTCGCGATGAGCAGATACGATCCTTCTCTTTTCATGAGGCGCGTCATGACCACAGGCGCATTGCGCATGACTGCAAGCTGGGCCGCGAATGTATAGCGCTCCGCATCTGTTGCCCGTCAACCCACTGTCCCTTGCCAATGCATTGTTGTAGACTGACCGCGACTTCGTGTATGCGTATCCATCTTGCCCGCGTTGTTTGTGATCTTGTCCAGGCCCCGCGAATTGCAGCTCTGCCCTACTCTTGAAAGCCTACTTTCCACCTGCTCCATGCGTACTTCCATATCGATGATCGTACCGGCCGTGTCGAGGAGACTGCGATAGCTTGCCCTACAGTTCTGTCAGCCTCTTCCATCTCTAATCCCTTGTTGGCCTGGCATTTCGTACCCGACTAGCGACCGTAGCTTCTCTCGATTGTCGTCGGCATTGTTGCGGAGCTGCTGTTCAAGCTTGCGGACAACGGGGATGGGGTATTGGAACGCGTCTTCCCACGTCTGGAAGGTTCGTGGGTCTGGCGTTTCGTTCGCCATTGGCGTTGGGTGCTGAAAGTCGCGTGTTGGCGTCGCAATGCTACATCTGGAGGTACGCGGCGATGCTACATCTCCCCACCAATCGCGTGCTTAGTCATCGCGCCTACCCATCACTCAATTGCCGACTGAAACAGTTGACTGATTTGCGAAGGTATTACATGATCAAAGAAGGGGCTTTGGACACAATCGTTGTGTAAAATACATGATGGCATTGGTGTTGAAACCAAGAAACTCTATCTCTATACTATCTCAAAACATGGTATCACAGGTTAAGCTCAAATGACTGACTCCGCCCGTCCAAACTCCTATCAAACAAATCATTCCCCATCTGGAATAAAGCCTGCCGTATCACCTGCAGCATTCCGTCTTCTGAGCTCGCGTTCCACAGCCCTCAACATGAGCTGCGCATCGTCGAGCGTCAATTCCTCTCCACCCCTCATGCTCGCCAACAGCTCCGCAAATTCAGGGTCATCAGGCTCGATGATCTCAACCCTTCTGCCCTTTGTCTTTGGCTTTGGTGGTGGCAATGGCAAGAAAGCTCTATTCGTGCTGCCGAACTTGGCAATCATCTCCTCAAATTCGCCTTGTGGGGTGCTCTGGCTTGTGACTGCCCCGCCAGCACCGATGCGCCAGACGTCTTCTTTGTCCTCATCCTGATCGTCGTCGATCTTGATAGCGGTACGAATGACAACGTTGAAGTCGCCGCCTCCTCCGACGTCAAGGTATCCGAGAACACCTGAGTATATGCCTCGTCTCACGCCGCTCTCCACATTTTGAAGGATTTCGCATGAGCGTTTCTTGGGCGCCCCAGTCATACTTCCTGGTGGTAGACTCTCAACGAATGCGTCGAACCCTAGGTATGGAACAGAATGTTTCGTTGGCTTTTTGGAAGCGTACTCCACAGGGTCTTCCCAATCTTCGGGGGTGGTAGGCTTGTAGATTCCGCTGGGTACTGCATCGACGACTGATACTAGTTGCCATAGTGTTTCGTATTCTTCCACTTCCATGAGCTGGCTCACTCGGACATTTTCCGAGCCGTAGACACCGTGAAGTTGATGGCGGGTAAGATCGACAATCATGAGATTTTCTGCGCGTTCCTTAGACGACGAGAGGATTTCATGGGCCATCTCGGCAGTTACGCCAGGTTTCTTCTGCACTGTTCCTTTGATAGGCCGGCATTGCGCAGTTTGCGATCGGTCCCAGCTTATGTACCGCTCTGGTGAGGAGCACAGTATATGTACATTGTGCATCCTCATGTAGGCGCTGAATGGCGCGGGGTTTTGACCAGTTAGGCGTTTGTAGAGGTTCCAGGAGTGTTCATTATCCTCGGAGTGGGATATTCTGCACGCTGTAGGCTTGCGAGCGCGAACCTCGTTGCGAGTCGTGAGACACAACTCGTAGCTCTGGCCGTCTGCTATCGAGTCTTTGCAGGCTCTGACTTTATCGCAATAGTCGTCTTCGCCAACTGTGAGCTGATGGCACGACTCAATATACTGGTGCATGGCGCCATGCGTCTCGAAAGGGTCGACCTGTCTCATTGCGGCAGAGTTCGGGGTAGTCTCTCGTGATTTGAAGCCTGCATGCTCATACAGTCTCTCTATTGTGTTGATGACCCAATCCTGGTCACAGGGACCGCGAATACTTTGAACGTAGATCTTTTTGATCTGGTGGTCAAAGACAATACTCCTTGTTATGTAGGCGAAGCAGATGTCCGGATATGAGGCTTCTTCGTGGCCGATGACGTCAATTGTTTCTAGACCAGCCTCGTAAGATGCATATCCCATCAAGCCTCCCCAGAAAGGAGCCCATGTTGAGCCCTGTGGCGGAGTCGAGGGCTGGAGACTCTTCATGACTTCTCGTACGTAGGGCCAAGGGTCGGCCACGGTCCAGTCTGTATGCACTTGGTCTTTACCATCTCTAAGCTCCATTCTGCGGGTACCAGCGTAGTAATGCAGGCGCAGAGTCTCTTCTGGGATAACGACACCAATAATGCTGTACCTGCCAGTTCCCACAGCCATGGGTACGAGGTTCGATTGCAGTCCCGACTCTAACACTATGGCTTCGCCTCTTGATAACTCGAAGAGCTCACAAGCATCCGCAACGGTAAGTCGTCCACTTCCCGTGGTCGCACAATGCACAGTGCTCGGTGGTAGATCCGGTAGTGACTGCCCGTCCCCATGCGCAATGAGCGAGGCCAGCTCGAACGGTGTGATAGTGTCGCTATCAAGCTTTGCGACGAAATCGGTATAAGAGCGTTTGCTCTGTTTCTTTGTGCCGTAGATCCCCAATTCTCGTCGGAAATCCTCAGCAGTCATCGGCAAAGACGGCACGTTGGATGTCAGACTATGCTTGGGGACGTTCCTGAACATGCGCTTCCGGTTCCAGGCTTGGGCGTCCTCCCACCAATTCCGGATGATGCGCTTGCCCTCGTCGTTTGTACATATCGACTCTGGATGAAATTGAACTCCCCAGAACGGCTTCTGCAAATGTTTGATGCCCATGAGAACGGCACCGTTGAGATCGCTATCAAAATCCCACGCCAACGGCTCCAACTGAGGGCAGGTCTCGGTGGGTTCCCAAAGCTGTGCAGGATACCGTACAGCGCGCTTGTTCTGTATGGGGTGATCGAGTTTGACTTGCAAAGAGTGGTACTGCGTTGCTAAAAGACTCTCCACACCGCGGAATATTGACTGGCTCTTGTGTAGGACGGCCGTTATGATACCGTGCTTTGGTTCCGCGAGCCGTTCAATATCGGCTCCAAATGCAAGGCATAGCGACTGGAATCCAAGACATATACCGAGCACTGGAATGATCTGCTCATCCCGAAGTTTCCAGAGTTCCTTCATTAGACCAACATCTTCGTCACATTTCGCCCAGCCAGGTCCCGGCCCTGCAATGACGGCATCAAAGCTCTTCAAATAGTCGGTAAACGCTGTGAACTCCCCAGAGGCTGATGGCTTCGCAAGAACAGGATCATCGATGAAGATTTTGATGATTTCCGCGTCTACATTCTGCTCGACCAGCGCGACAATGTTGTTGGAAAAAGAGTCGTAGGCGTCCAGACAGAGTATCCTTGGGCGCTGAGTCAGAACGGCAGGCGCCATCGCTTTGGTCGCGGGTCTGAAGCCCGGAATAATCGGGTAGTGCGTGAGATGTTTCTGCAACAGATTCCGATATTGAATAGTCAAGAGAGTCAGACCGGACGTCTAAGCGACAGCCAGGTGTTGTATCGTGGTTGGTGAAAAGTTGAAGAGGTGATAGGGCTGAAATCTTATCCCGCGATAACTCCGGCGATTCGCCGGTGCAAGTGCGGAACCGTGGATCGGGTTCGTAGGAGTACCTTGGCTGTAGTTGAGTAGATGGAAGGCTGGCAGTAGGAGAGCGGTGAGAGCGGTGGTAAAGCGATGGAAGTGTTACAATGAACGATAACGATCTCATGCCAGGACGCCACCTGGTTAGGGTCAATAGGCCCCAGATGCAGGGTCCAACGGAAGCAGCCGCTTAGCTGCTCGACGCATCTGAGGTGTGCATGTCCTCGAAAAGGAAAGCAACCTTCGCTAATGTTGTTTCACCCAGCCGATCGACCTCTTGCCACCTCCTTAAAACCCCGCGCCATGTTCTAGAAGTCAGAGACGTGTTACAGCTATCCCACACGCGCTGCAGTAGCCCTACTCCGGAGTACGAAGTCGAACCTCTTTGTCCTCACATATACATCGTGCCAGGAATCCACTGGGCTACACATCAGATAATATTGGTATAGTATCTACCCCCGCCTGATGCTCTCGATCTGCGCGTCATGCACCAGAATGCCACAAGATACACTTTAGGACATGATGGCATCGGACAAGATGACGCCTCGGCATACTAGAGTGGGCATCGCGCTTGGGCCATGTCGTCATGTCGAGATTCTTCCGCTGCGTTCCCACGGCGCGAGACCACCACATTTTGTTGAAGACGGCCAAGTCCCATAGACGCCATGTCCTGGCTCAAACGGCGAGCAGGGCCCTTAATAGTACTCGGCACCTCAGCCATTGGCGGCGCCGCCTATCGCTTCACCAAATCCGCCGACCCCTCCGACGCATCGTTGAACCCGCATACCTTCACGCCGTACACGCTTGTAGACAAGCAGCCTGTCTCGTCGACCAGCGCAATATTCACATTGCGCAATAGCAATGGCGTCTCAGATACGGAAAGTGTGAAGGAGGTGTGGAAGCGCAGCATCTGGAGTGTCCAGATCAAGCAGCCACAATTACAGATCGCGCGCGCATACACACCGCTGCCGCCTTTGCCTCCAGACGTCCACAAGAATGGCGAGAATGAGCCTGAGGATATGAGGCTGCTCATACGGCAGGAACAGGGAGGCGAGGTCTCGACGTACCTGCACCGACTACCCGAACAATCCACCGTCGAGCTACGAGGACCGAACACCGAACTTGAGCTTCCGCGCGATATCATAGAGGTTGTCTTCCTGGCAGGCGGGACCGGCATAGCACCTGCGATGCAAGTTGCGCAAGCCCTAGGAAGAAGGACTGGAAGCCGGATGCACATACTATGGGCGAATAGGCGGCGTGAAGAATGTGTAGGGGGCATCAGCGACGACAAAGGTAGCACAGCATCTGCGTTGGATCGCGTAGGCTGGTGGCAGAGCTTCTTCGGTTCCAGCGAGTCCGTTGCAGCTGCACCACTTGCGGAGGACTCATCTACCGCGTCCAAGGGCATTGTGGTAAAGGAACTGGATGCGCTCAAGAAGCGGAGCGAAGCAACGAAAGGCGAAGGCCTCCGTGTCAACTACTACGTCGACGAGGAGAAGACATTTATCCATCCATCCGAGATCGAGAAGAAGATACAAAGGCAACGAGCAGAGAACGGCTCAAGGTTGATCATAGTATCAGGTCCAGATGGATTCATCGAGCATTGGGCGGGCAAGAAGCTCTGGGCCAACGGAAGAGAGATACAAGGCCCATTAGGTGGTCAACTAGGGAGGATGCAACTAGGTGAGTGGAAAGTAATCAAGCTGTAAGATAACGTACGTTCACCATGATATCCATCTTCTTCACTCTCACACTCTTTATGCGCCTACCATCTTGTTCCTAGCGCATTAAACACACTCCGCGGACCTTGACATCGGTGTTTCTCCGAGTCCGTAACTGCGCATATATGCAAGCCGGGAATAGTGCAGCCATCACTTGCCTAAATAGCGGCTAGACATTATGCAACAAGCGCGGCCTCATGGATGAATTCCGCGCGCTGAATAATTCCACAGTCGGCGCATTTCGATCGTTGCTTATCAGATCCCTGTCGCATCAATTCGAAACTCATACAGCATCTTTTCTATCAATTCCTCTTTGCGCTTCTTTCAACCTTCCGTTCAGCGTTCCGAGACGAAATGGGGGCGGACGCAGCAGACACAGACGCCGAAGTCGCCGCTTCCCTTTCCTATCATGACCGGCCAATCAGCGACAAGGACCCCAACGCGCGACCAGAATGCTTCACATCGACGTTCCAAGAATGCATGTTCATCGCCTCGGTGACCATGGCCGTGGCCATGACGAGCTTCCTAACTGGGTCAATCACAGTCATGAGTTCCTTCGCTGCACGGGACCTCAACATGACGAACGCGGAAATCACATGGATGAATGCAGCGACATCGTAAGCATATATCCAGTACACATCTAGGCACACACAAGCTGAGAACGAATAGACTCACAGCAGGATCCCTCCTCCTCTTCTTCGGCAGCGTAGCCGACCTCTTCGGCCGCAAAACCATGTTCATAGCCTCCATGTTCCTCTTCTCCGTCTTCTGTCTCGGCGCCGGTTTCTCCACCTCAGGCATGACTTTGGATATCCTCTGCGGCGTGCTAGGCATCTTCTCCGCGTCCTCGGTGCCCCCAGCCCAGGGTATGCTCGGCGCCATCTACGAGTTGCCCAGCCGAAGGAAGAACCGCGCTTTTGGTTGTTTCAGCGCGGGAAACCCCATGGGCTTTGTTTTTGGGACTATCTTGTCGGGACTGTTCACGCAGGTGTTTAGTTGGAGAGCGGGGTTTTGGTTACTTGCTATTGTGTACTTTGTGACTAGTATTGTTGCGGCCTTTACGGTGCCGAGGGATGGGACGCCCAAGAGGAGGTTGGATGCCGAGACGGTTAAGAGGTTGGATTTGCCGGGGACGGGGTTGACGGTGCTGGGGATTGGGATGTTTTGTGCGGCGTTGAGGTATGTCCTTTATCCAGGATTGAGAGGATATCGAACTGATTATGGGGTAGTCTCGGAGGCGATGCACCGCAAGGGTTGAAGACGCCGTATGTTCTTGTCCTACTGATCCTAGGTCTTATCCTCATTGCGGCATTTGTCGTATGGGAGATCAAATATCCGTATGCTATGATCGACATGAAGATCTGGTACGATCGGGACTTTTCCCTTGTAAGTCCTCCTTCCCGTCTACTCTAATGCCATCAACTGCATTACCACCATTACCACCAGAAGAGAAGTTTCACAATCCACTAACCCACACACCAAACACAGCTCCTCACCATCCTCTCCTGCGGTTTCCTCGGCTTCCCCATCTTCTCCTTCTGGATCGCACTCTACTTCCAAACCCAACTCAACTACAACGCTCTCATGACAGGCGTGCACATGCTCCCCATGGTAATCGTAGGTCTAACCGCCAACGCCGTCGCCGCCCTCGTCCAACACAAAGTCTCCAACAAACTGCTTGTGGGTATCGGTGCCGCCGCTCTAACCGTTTCCTTCATTCTAGCTGCCGTGCAGAGGTACGGAGACTCGTATTGGGCGTTTTCTTTCCCGGCGCTGTGTTTGTGTGTTGTTGGGGTGGATTTCCAGTTCATTGTCGCTAATGTACGTTTCTCTCCCTTCCAATCTCCTTGTGTCTTGTTAGTGGTTCTTGACGCTGATCACGAGTAGATGTACGTTCTCTCATCCATGCCCACGAACAAACAATCCATTGCCGGGTCGCTGTTCCAGACTCTGACTCGGCTGTGTACTGCGATTGCGTATGGTGCCGCGACTGCCATATTCGATGCCGTTCAAAGACGTCCTGCTACCTCGGGCTACTACGCGAGAAATGCTGCTGAGCCGTTTGCGGCGGTGTTTTGGTTTGCGGCTGCGGCATCAGTACCTGGGCTTCTTCTTGTTCCCTTTCTGAGGATTGGTACGCAGGGGCATACGGGGGATACTGGGAGGGTTAAAGTGGGTGGGGATGATGGGCATGTTGTTGCTGCTGTCAGCGAGAAGCATGGACGGAGTGATGTGGAGGAGAGAGGAGAAGTGGTGTAAACGCAAATGATAGGAACATCACGAAACTCGAAACGATTCGGATATCTGAACTTTGAACATATGCTTGGTATTTTCAATGGCAGTTGATCGGCATCTACTGATCAGGGTTGTAGTACTTCCGCCAGTTGTGTTCCTCCTTGAATCCAAGAACATCCCTAATCTTGCGGTTACTCAGCGGCGCCTCCCACTCTTCCATTTCCCTCGTGATGGGCGTATTGGGTGCATACTGTTCCAGGAACTGCTTTGTTGGGAACGTGGCAGTGATGGTATCGTTCGTTGCGTTGAAGACCTGGAAGCCCAGTCCATCCTTCTGTACGCATAGATCGCAAATCTGGCCAAGATCACGAGCGTCAATGTATGCCCAAGCGTTTCTCTTGCGGCATTCTGGGGACTTGATGTATTTTGGGAAGTCGCGCTCGTACTCGTGAGGCTCGATGACATTTCCGATGCGGAGGGCGTATATGTCGGCGTCAAATCTGCGGGCAAATCCACGTCCTACGCGCTCGCCGCACAGTTTGGAAATGGCGTAGGTATCCATGGGGTTTACGTCCATATCTTCAGTCAGTGGGAACGCGGTGTAGTCGAGATCTCCTTGGCCAAAGCACACTTCGTAGGTAGTTTCGCTGCTGGCGATGATGATCTTCTTGACGCCGAGCTTGCAAGCTGCCTCGATGACATTGTATGTTGACCTCACGTTGCCGGCATAACACTCGTTGTCGGGTACCAGCATGTTTCGTGCGTAGGCTGCGAAGTGGATGACCGCGTCTGGTGGGCCGGGTACGTGAGGACCTTCATAGCCGGCGAAGTTGAAGTGGGTTGTGAGGGCGTTGAAGACCTGGCCGCTGTCTGTGAGGTCGGTTTTGAGGGTGAAGACTCCGGCGTTCGGGTCGGGGAAGTCTGGTTGATGTTAATTCATAGAACATAGCAGCGAAGAAAACGGGGATGTACCTGTCAAGTCAAGATTGAGTACCGAGTAGCCCTTCTTGATGAGTTCTGGGATGACATGGCGTCCAGCCTTTCCTGAGCCGCCGGTGAAGACGATGCGCTTCCCTGAGGGGGCCATTGTGGAGAATTTGGGGACTGGAAGAATGTTCTTGTATGTTCGCGATCTAATACTCGATATGTCAGTGGTAGCGTGGGCATGGGCATGGGGTAACTGCGGGGTCGTTCTTACCCTTTGTAAACAAAAGGTCTAACTGGCGTCTTAGGGAATCTGCTGAGACAAGATTGAAAATTTATCCAAGAGACCGTCGAGCAGAGATATCCTCATCTTTATAGGCGTCATTGTGCATCTGGAGATCGATCGTCCCACCGGGACATCTCAATGCGAACAGGCGTGGCGAGGACGGTAGCTACAGCGGGATGTAGATGGTCGGTAAACCTACGTCACGACCCCTACCCCGGCATTTGGAAGTTGGACCCACCTGAGCACGCTTTTCGGTCATACGACTAGCGTATGAAGACAGCGAATCCTCCGCAATTGCCATTTCACACCTAGTACATCTTCACCTATGGTCGCATATCCCTATCCACACAGATGACCAGCGGTCTGATGCGGCGCTTCTCCACGTTTGCCCGCACGCAACTCCCCACTAGGACAGCGAGATCGCTCACTGCGCCCCGGCTGCTGGGGCTCAAACAGTACAAGAGGACCCTCAGCGACGCCGGCGCGAGACAGGCATCCGTGTCGAGGCACTGGTTCACTAGCTCGTCGCCATGCTCCCATCCGGAATCCGATGAGCGCGAGAAGGCGCGTTCGAACGAGCGCAACTTGAAACTAGGAAACAGTGGGTGGCACCTTCTACAAGCAGGAGTACATGGCTAACACGGTCACAGCAATCCGAGTACTCCACGATCGCCTACCCACGCTCTTGATATCGCCCCTACCGCAAGACATACTTTCCCCGCAGATCAGTCTTCAACTGTTCCCCTCGACGCACCCACACCTACCTACCGTCAGCGGGAGGATTTCATACGCAGCAGCACTATGGACAGCACCGGTCGCATGGGGCCAAGTCCCTGTGCTGGGCAATGTGAAGCTCAAGATATTGTCTGAGCGCATGGTCAAGAATGGAGGATCAACCACAAGCAATGTACGCAACGAGAAGCTCATAGTCCGGTGGCAGACATGCAAATCGGAGAAGGAAAATGGCCAGGTCAGCGACGTAGTCGAAAAGATTACGAGCATTGTCGCGGGATCCAAGAGGCCGCACCAGGAGTTCACTGGGCTGTTCAAGTTTGAGTTCGACGAAGAGGGGCGCATCTTGAATCACATCATCGAGCACACAGAAGAGGGCCAGCACTGGGACAGGACGGCCAAGGTCATCAGTGTCACTGACTGGCTGCTGGGACGGGCGTGGGGGAGGCGTGAGGAAGTGAGCCCTAGTCTGGCTTTTGTCAAGTGCTGGAGAGAGAAGAACAGCCGGGGTCGTGGCGAGCGGCGATGAAGCGTGGGAGTACAGGCCCTTCACCACTCTATTGTACAAGACTTGTAATCACGAAGTAATGACAACACCCATCCTCACACAGCAGCGTCAATTTCACATGCGTATCCACCGCTGATGACCAGGTGCGTCAGGTTACACATCCGGAATAATTCTGCGTGTGCGATTGGCCGAGGGCTTGGGTGAAATGCGGAGGCCGGCCATGTGCATGGAAATGAGTGGCAGGGCGGGATGGGATGCATCGACAGCGTGGCTGGGCCCGTGACAGCTGCTGTGTTCCCGCCCAATAGACGAGTTGCGAGCATCGACGCAGCACTAACGACTAACTCGCGCCTAGCATCACTAGGATCAAGCTTCCGGCGCATCTCCCCAAGGCCAACCCTCCATCAACATTGCTACCACCATCGCGCCCCCTTCACCCCCAAGGGCTTTCCATCGCTACTCGAGAGGTGTTTTTTCGCGTGTAGCCGCCGGCCGCTAGCCCTGCAGCAGTCCACCGCCCGGCCGCCCAAAGCTTCCCCGCTCCATTACACGACAGCGCCGGGAGCTTCAGCCTCATCCACCCAGGCAGAAGCCTAACAACCACGAGCGCCGTCCCCGGAGCCCACACAGCCATGGCGGACCTCGCACAGAGCGGCGAATTGAGTGCGTGCTGACACATACACCTGCCCAAGTCCCAGCTAACGCGGCGCAGACCAGCCCGTCCTCAACCTGACGCCCGAGGAGAAGCGCGTCTTCCAATTCCTCTTCCAGCAGGCCGACACGGAGAAGCTGGGCGTCATAACAGGCGAGATTGCCGTCAAGTTCTTCGAGCGCACCAAGTTGGCACCCGCTGTCCTGGGCGAGATATGGCAGATTGCAGACACGGAGAACCGCGGTCTCCTGACCATGGCCGGCTTCTGCCAGGTCCTGCGCCTCATCGGACACTACCAGGCCGGCAGAGACCCCGCCCCAGAGCTGGCCTTTAGACGTATGACCCCAATTGCTCGTGGTATAGCCATGCGCTGACACTCCCGCAGCTGCGCCCCTGCCCAAGTTCGAGGGCTTGAACATCCCATCCGCTCCTCCTGCCGCCCCGAGCTTCTCTCCACAACCCACCGGTTCGATACAACCTCAGATGAGCGGCAACGGCCCCATCCGCGTGCCTCCGCTAGTACCCGCCAAGGCTGCTGAATACGCAGGCCTATTCGAGAAGTCTGGTGCCGTCAATGGCGTGCTCTCTGGTATGTGTCTCGATACTCGACTAGTGCGACTCTAACATTTCCAGGCGAGAATGCAAAGGAGATCTTTGAGAAAGCGCGGTTACCCAATGAAGTCCTCGGTCGCATCTGGAATCTTTCCGACACGGAGCAGCGCGGCGCTTTGAACGTCACCGAATTCATCATTGCCATGCACATGCTCGCCTCCTACCGAACTGGCAACATGAAGGCCCTCCCGACCGCCCTACCCCCAGGCCTGTACGAAGCCGCCTCGCGACGAGGACAACTCCCACCTCCACCAGGCCGACCAGACCAATCCATGTCCATCCCGCGCCAGTTCAGCGGTCAGCAAAACCAGCCGCGGCAATCGAGTCCCCTTGGACGAACGCCATTCGGAGCACCGGCTCCAGCACCCCAACCGACCGGCAGCGATTGGCTTATCAGCCCACAAGAGAAGGCGTCTTACGACAACCTTTTCAAGACGGTTGACACCATGGGTCGCGGTTTCATTACTGGAGACCAGGCAGTACGCTTTTTCAGCGATTCCGGCCTGCCCGAAGATGTCCTCGCAGGAATATGGGACCTTGCAGACATCAATTCGGAAGGTCAGCTGTCCAAGGACGAGTTCGCAGTCGCAATGTACCTCATCCGTCAACAACGAAAGGGAGACCAGCTTCCAGCAACGCTTCCACCCAGCCTGATCCCCCCGAGCCTACGAACAGCCGCCAATCAAGCAGTACCAGTAGCCGCTCCTCAGCCAGCGCCACCCGTTCCTCGCGCCGCCAAATCAGCTGCAGATGATCTCTTCGGACTCGACGCCTTCACAGCACCGGCTCCTGCTCCTCAGCAACCGCAATCGACAGGCGGCTCGGCTACCTTCAGCAAGCCATTCGAGGCGGATCCTTTCGGAAGCAAGCCAACTTCGCCCACGTCTCCTCACCCATTCCAGCCTCAACCGCGGAACCCTGCTTCCACCTTCAAGCCGTTCATGCCTAGTTCTTCATTCGGTCAGACTCTTACTGCGCATTCTACAGGCCAATCGGGTACCTCTGGCGTACCACAACACTCCACACCATCCGCAATGGACGATTTGCTGGGTGGAGAGGATGTTGCCGAGATCAACAAGAAGCTGACGCAAGACTCGACTGACCTGGCCAACATGTCTAACCAGATGACCACTCTCCGAAACCAGATGCAGGAAGTTCAGAACAAGAAGACTGCGACAGAGGGCGATCTCAACAGTGTCAACACCCAGAAGCGCGATCTCGAGCTGCGCCTCTCGCAGTTCAAGACCCAGTACGACCAGGAAGTCAAGGCTGTCAAGGCGCTAGAGGACCGACTGGCTGCCTCTCGCAACGAGACCCGCAAGCTGCAGCAGGACCTTGCTATGATCGAGGGCTCTTACCAGGATCTCCAGAATCAGCACCGCCAGGTGGGAGGTCAACTTGAGGCTGACCAACGCGAGAATAACAGCTTGAAAGAACGCATCCGCCAGCTCAACACCGAGATTGGACAGCTGCGTCCTCAGCTTGACAAGATGAGGAACGATGCCAGACAGCAGAAGGGCATGGTCGCCATCAACAAGAAGCAGCTTGCTACCAACGAGGGAGAACGCGACAAGATCAGGAATGAAATGAACGACTTGACCAAGTCGCAAGAAGAGGGCACACGCAGTCCACAGGCCCAGACCCCCGCCGTCGCCGTCAGCCCCGCAGCGTCCACTACAAGCCAGAGCACGAACCCATTCTTCCGCAAGTCGCCCCAACCCGTTGCGGAGAACACCATGTCGCCATCTGGATTCGCACGCGAAGGCCCGCACAAGGACTTTGACAGCGTTTTTGGTAGCTTCGGCACTCCTCAAAGCACAGCACCTCCCGTCTCTTTCCGTCCCGAAAACCAGAGCCAAGGTCCCAGCTTCTCTGTTCCATCCGGCCAGTCAGTACGCTCTTCCGAAGGACCTGACGTTCCCACACCGTCTACCTCACCCCCACTGTCTTCTTACCAGGAATCTCCCCGCGCTGCAGACCCGCCAGCTCCCCCTGAGTCGCGTCAATTCGGCTCTTCATTCCTGCCGCTGAGGGAAGGCGGCCAGCGATCCGACTCGTTCAGCTCTTCCGTGCGAGCTACTGCTCCTGCCAGCAGATACGGTGGCCCTGGCAACGAGACACCTACAATCTCCCAGGCATCTCCTGCGAGCACACCAATAGCAGAGAAGCCCACGGTAGAGCGAACTGAAACCAACCGCACAGAAACCGACAACTTCAACCCTTCTCTGTTCAACCGTAACTTCTCATCAGCATCTCCTGTAGCCAGTATCACCAGTGATACTCAGCGCTCAACCAGGGCTGAGGACCGTAAGGATGCCTTCTCTAACTTCGGAGCACCTTCAGCTGGTGTTGACATTCCTGGTGCTTTCCCACGTGAGGCTGCTACGCCTCTTCAACAGAACCAAACTGGAGAGAGCAGTCTGAGCGCCCCCAACAGGAACATCAACCGCGCGGACCCCTTCGGCAGCACCTCTGGTGAGCAGCCTCGTGGAGGAAAGGATGATTTCGATGCGGCATTCGCTGGCTTCGGCCCTAGTCGTCAGAACACTGCTACTGCATCCACCACAAGCGCACCCGCGGATAACTCCAACAGGTTCAACAAGGAGTTCCCTCCGATCGAGGACTTGGCTCACGATGATGACAGCGACAGTAACGATGAGCGCGGATTCGATGACAACTTCACATCCGCGTCGCCAAACCAGAAGCGTACTAGCACAGGACAAGAGCAGCGCTCTCAGCAACAGCAGCGACCAGGCACTGCGTCAAGTGACGAGCTGTACAGGGCCCCGCCGCCAACTACCCGCCTGGACTCCAACATCGGTGGCTTGCCCTCTCCTAGCGCGCAGAAGTCCCCACCCACCTACGAGTCCACTGTGAACCAGACCAGAAGTGGATCGAACCAATTCCCCCCTGAGTTCGGTGGTCTTCTTCCCGCTCGCGAAGACCCGACGTCGCCAGGGTCTCCTGACACCGCACAAGGCCCGGAGAAGTCGTACAATCCTCCTGGCGGTCACGGAGCTGCTCTCTTTGGCGGCCCTTCCAAGTCTGCCACCACATCGCCCCCTCCTCTAGATACTCCATCATCGACCGTCCCATCCGATCAATACCACTCTGCAGTATCGTACGGTGCCAATGAGAACAAGGGCCCATCGCCGTCCAGCAACGTCCCCCAACTCGGCAAGTCTGCCTTCAACGATGACTTCGACGCCGGATTTGATGATCTAGCGGATGCCAAGGAGGATGACCGCGCTGATGACGACTTCATGTTCTCTTCGCAGAACCGTGAAGGTCTTGACGAGTTCAACCCAGTCTTTGACTCGCCAGCTGCCTCCAAGTCAAACACCATGGCTTCTCAACAGACTCCCACCGGCAAGCCTCGTGGTGATGACAGCTTCAGTGACTTTGAACACCTGTCGCAGACCTTTGGAGGACAGCCCCAGCAGCCTCAACCCGCTGCCTCGTCCCAGGACTGGGATGCCATCTTCTCCAACCTCGAGTCGTCGCAAACCGACAAGGGCTCGCACTCGCAGCAAGCATCCACTGACTTTGGCAAGTCTGTCTTTGACACTCTCGACAATGAGGAGGCTGCTGCTTCTTCATCAAAGTCTCAGGGATTGTCGCCTCAGATGCCCTCGCTCGGTCGTGCAATCAGCACTGGAACCGAGCATGACGACCCTATCCTCAAGAAGCTGACCGGTATGGGCTATGGACGTAACGACGCCTTGTCTGCGCTCGAGAAGTACGACTACGACATCAACAAGGTAAGCAATGCAACTACACTCAATATAAAAGAAGGCTCAAACTAACAACTCTTGATAGGCCGCCGACCACCTGGCTTCCGGAGGAAACTAAACACTCCAATCATTCCCACTCCATACCGCCACACACACTCGCGTACCCCGGATCGCTCTTTTGTATGAGTACATATGTTTAGCATGGCTTTGTCACAACAAACTTTTCATACCCTTGAGCGTTGGACTTCTCTCTCCTGTTTTCCACTGTCGCTGCGACGCACGCCCTTTCCTTTGTTCACGCTTACTCTTCTTGTACTAAAGCTTTCACTTGAGACGGAGGCTTTTGGGCCAGTCTTGGTGCTGGCTGTGTAGTAGGGAGGATTGGGTCTGAGCGACTGCTGCGTTTTGTGCACATGGTTAGTTACTTAATCTAATTCGTTCTTTGGTTGATTGATGCAGTGTTGTGTGCTTGTGATGTAGTGAATATGTGTCTTGACGTTGATTAGAGCTATAGGTTGGATGTAGTTGTGTACTCCAATTGGCCCTCTACAAATCTATCTCTCTTATTAAAGAGCATGAAGATGAATATATAAGCTAGTAGATATTATTAAAAAGGTAGCTAAGTCTAGTATAGCCCTCTACTAGTTTTAAAAAGGTTATAAAATAAGAGTGTACAACATATTTTTAGCAAGGGAAGCTTAAGCTAAGCCTTGTAGCTTAGTACTTAAGAATTACCTAGTAAGGTAGCTCTTCTTATAGAAATTAGGTAACAATAATTGCTCTACGTACAACTGTAGGAATTGCGATACAACAACTATAGCTCGCTGTCGCGATTATTGAAGAGCATTGTGGCGTATGGTATGACCATACGTTGCGAACATTACTAGGGGGCTCGTCGTCGATTGCAAAATCTGTTCTCCCATCCATACGGCCCTTCAAAGTCTCTGTTGTGCTTATGGTCCATGCTGTAAACAAATCCGGTCAGAGCATCTTGGTCGTTCCACCGCGTTCTGAAGGCTTCGCGCACTTTGACCGTGGTTTCGTCGTCGAGTGTGGGGTGTCGCTTGAATTCGTAACCGAGAAAGTATGGCATGAGGGCTTCTTCGATAACCTCGTCATTTTCGTCGTCTTCTGCGTTGTCTGCGTTGTCTACTTCTTGCTCGTCCTCCGCAGCACGCGGACGAAAGATGAAATGCTGTGTTGGATCTGCGTTACTGGCTTCTTCTTTCTCCTGTCTCTTGTTAGCCTACTCATTGATACACATAGGGTTCTAATGAGCATTCCAAATACCTTGCGCCACTCCTCCTCCGTCATACCGAATAGTTGACCCCTAGGCCACCACCTTCCCCGTCCTCTCTTGGGATTGATCAGGTATCTTACAGAGACATCACTGACCTGCCTCCAACTCGGGTCCTTCATGTGGTCGAGATTTGCTTGGAAGATTCGAATCGCTTTGCCTCTATGTATGAGGTCGTACACGGGTTGTCGTAGCACCTCGAGGATGTTGAGCATGACTCGCCTGTCCTCCATTGAATAAGGATATGGCTTGTTTCCCCACGCGTGGAAAGATGTTTCAAGACGAATGCAGATCTCGTGGTTTCGCTTTGTAGGTAATAGCTGGAGCGACTGGAGGTTATTGTACATAGCCATTAGTTCATCTCCGCTCTCTAGGTTCGTCTCGTAGAAGTTAAGTGCAAGCGTGAACTTGCGGATTAACTCATATGGCTTTGTACCCATCTGGAAAGGGTCGGCTTTGAACAGCTTGATCATCTCCTCATCCGACGTGATGTAGAAAGTGTTCGTTGAATAGTAAGCTTCGGCGAGTTCTTGCGCGACCTGCACTCCAAAGTATGCCGGGTCCATGGCCCAGGATTTGGGCTGCACATGTAGTTTTTCGTCCCATTTCGACCAGTCCTCTGAGTCATATTTTCCGATGCGTACTTTGCTGCCGTATACATGACGCTTGCCCGTCAGCTCACAGGGTTGAGCGTTCGGCCCGACGATATACGCATATACCGTGTTGCGGAGCTCCAGGGGTAATGAAGCGTGAATCTTGTTGGTCAGTGCGCGACATGATTTTCTTGCTGTGATTGCTGCCTCCACTGCCCTTTCGCGTCGTATAGGGGAGGCGATGCATCTACGCGTTTTTCGCGATTAGCAGAGGGAGTGATTGTGGGAGTCATGGATCGTACTTCGGCCTGCAAATGAGCTCACCGTTGAAGTTACACTGGACACCGAGCCCCACTGGTTCAACGGAGCCGTCAGGCAAGACGCGCTCGGATAGCCATTCGGATGATGACATGGCTGGTGGAGGTAAGGTGAGTTCGTTGAAGGGTCGCGCAGGAAGATGGCAACAGCTGAAGGTTATGTACGTCCGCGGCATAAGGTTCCGCTCTTACTGTACCCATAGATGACAGGGATCCCACTAGCTCATTCGAAACCTAATCTCCATAGCAAAGAATATGCATAGACGCTTGCGCCTGCAGCGCGTTGCATTGGTCCATCACTCGAAACAAGTCGCAAAGTCACTCGAAACGTGATAAGAGGTTCGATTAAAATAGTTCCGCTCAACCCCAGCACCCCATCGAACAAGAAACGTGCACATCATACGCTCATACATGCAACATCTTCCCACTCAACACATAGACACCCTAAATCTTCTTGTCATTAAACCTTCGAAACACCAACAGCAACAGATTCAGTTCTCACAGCAGCATCAACTTTCTCTTCATAGCGGTCAAAAGCAGCAGTCCCCTGGATATGGCTGTCCTCAAACACATCGACAGTCGTGCTTGCAAACTTGCGCGCGCTGACGCGCTTCTCGAAGAGGAGATCAAGTTCAGCGAAAGAGCGGCCCTTGGGTTCGGGTAGGCGGAAGTAAGTGTAGATGATACTTAGGAAGCAGGAGCCGGCCCAGAAGAATCCGGCGTAGTTGCCCCTGGGGTGTGGTTAGTAGAGGAAAGAAGGAGAGCAAGGGAGAGAAGGAGGGACGTACCAGTTCCAGGCTCCGGGGTTGAGCATGTAGGGCGTGAGGACGGAGGTGATGATGCCGATTACGTTGTAGAGGTTGCGGCCGAGTACCACGGTCTTGATGGCGAGGCGGCGGGTTGAAAGCTCAGCAACGAGAGAGTAGCATACGGTGCCGACGGTCAACTGGTAGAACATAGCCCATACGATCATCATAGCTCCGGTAGCCATGGCGCCCTTCTCCCGCTGGGAGGCTGGTACCAGGCCAAGGAAACCCATGACGAAGAGCATAACGCATAGCCCACAAAGACCACCTAGGTAGAGTGTTCGACGTCCGAAACCGACTTTCATGAGGTACCAAGCGCCAAAGACACCGGCCATGTTAATACCGTACTGACCCATTGCGAAGTCATACGAAGTCGATGCGGGTAGACCGGCCTGTTGGAGGAAGTAGGAAGAGTAACCCGAGAAAGCGTTTCCACTCAAGTTCTGCATCGCCCAGGCCATGCAGACAATCTCCGTACGACGCAAATCAGTACCCTTAAAGCAGTCCCAGTAGCTGGCTCCCTGGGTGATCTTCTCTTCGAGGGCGGTGGTGTGCACCATCATGGCCACCGTTTCGTCGGCATCGAAATCAGTTTCTCGGTCCAAGCTGGTGAGTCGAAGCAGGGATTTCTTCGCGTCTTCGATTCTTCCTTTACGGACTAGCCACCATGGCGACTCGGGCGCTAGGAAGACACCGATGATGAGGGGGACGGGCCACATCCATTGGAGGGCGTAGGGGATGCGGTATGACCATTCGTCATCACGGTCGACCATGGAGCGGATGACACCGATACCGATGACTTGACCAAGACCCCAGCAGAAGTTGACGTAGGTGGTCACTAATTGATGTGAGCTTGTGTATGTGAAAGTAGAGCTTGGTAAACTTACAGTATCCACGCAGAGCAACAGGGCAGACCTCGCAAGCGTATGTGATAGTAAGTGTCTGGAAGACACCCCAGGGGATACCACAGAGAATCTCCGCAATCAGCAAGTGCACCACCGTCTGAGCTGTGAAGAAGATGGTGGTGAACCCAATGATCAGAAGCAAGCATCCCATGACAGTGTAGCGGTATCCGATAGCCTCACTGATCCACCCATTGAGGAAAAGACCAATGATCTCGCCCACAATGACTCCGTTCGACAGTCCAGCTTGCCATGGCGCTGGAATCTCCCAAGAGCCGTCCGGAAGCTGCTCGCCGTACTTTTGCTTGAACTGCGGGAATCCGAAGAAGTTGTTCAGCAGGCAGACATCGTAGCCTTCCATGACGATACACGTGCTGATAAGGACAGACCATCCAATCGCCTTGGGATAGAGTTTGATACCCTGCATCAGCGTCATCTTGCGTTCGTTGTCCGTGGCAAGCCGCGCATCGTCAACAAGCTTGTTAGCAGCGCGCTTGTGATCGGACTCATCATTCTCTCCATAATGCTCGAACGGGGGCGCGGTAGTAGGCTGAATCTCCTTCTCTTCCGCCATGACTGCTCTCTTCCGTGAACTCTCCTTGCAAACCAGAGAAATTCGGGCCGATGTCGATCCGGCCAGGGCTGGGCTGCTTTGGGAACGATAGTGGGGTGCTGCAACGCTGCTCCACACACTCTCGAACCAGGACAAAAGTAAAGAGAAATCCGGGGAAACTGCTACCGTGACATTGGGTGGTAGGACATGAGGCGGTCTTTAAGCATAAAATTTTGCGGGGTCTAGCATGGCTTTTGGGTAAGCGTGGTTGTAGCGGCGAACCATGCAAGCCAGGGTCTGGGTCGCGTGCAGACAGGTGGAGCTTTCATCTCCTGCGGCCGTGCGCGGACGTGATTGGGTCGTCCCATATGCGACCTTCTTGCTACGGGTTAGGAAGACAGAGACGGATGCTGGTGGCTCGGGTAATTCTTCGTTCACATGGTCTCGTGGCACGCCTGGTGCATGCCCAGCTGGCCTGTCCTTGGCCAGAGCGTGGGTGTTCACGATCGGAGCGGTGGCCGACAAGCTGACCGTTGAGCTGGAGTACTGGCGCATGCTATGTGCATAGCTAGGTCAGCCACACCGAAAATCGGCAATAGCGACCGCGCCGTAGTGAATTGCTGATAGCTGTGATGTCGGAGGTTGTTGCCAGTGTACGCAAGGAATCGTACAAGTAAGCCCAAGAAGGAGTTTGCCGAGGTAGCGCCTTCGGCTTTCACCCGTACCTGGCGGTGTAGTGTCAAACGGCATGTTGAACATTCTAGAAGCTGTGGAATGTATTGCATCTGCATCAAGATGGTATTGATCTAACAATGTTCCTTGTTTGTGTCTTTAAGCCCGTGCAAGCTACATCAAGTAGTCCTGTGTCCATTCGCGGGCTCCTCAATAGTGTCATCCTCCTCTACACCAGTAATTGCTTCCGGTTCTTCACTTCGCGGCTGTACCCGTCCGCCAAAGAATGCGAGAAGCAATAAATCATACGCCGCTTTCAAGCTACCAGCTGCAACAAAAGCGACCCAGAAATGATCGTTCCCAGCAAGTACACCAGTAAGACTTGGTCCACTGCTCTGGGATAGTGTCTTGAGTATATTGACTACGCCCATAACGGCGGTTCGCTCTTCTGGTAAGACCACAATCGAGAGAAAGGCTGATCGAGGGGCCTGATCCATAGAGTTGAGCACAGAGCGACCAACGAGCAGGCAGATGGTTAAAGCTAGTCCCGACGGTACAGGCAGTAGCGCGAGAAATATAGAAGAAGGCAGATGAGTGAAGACCATTGCTTGGATTAAGCCGAGACGTTTGGCTAGACTCGAGGCGAAGACATTTCCAAGTGTCGACACAAACCTGTATGTTCGTAAGCGTGTGGTTTAAGGCATACTTCGATCAGGTTGTGACTTACCATGTTGCAGACATGATGCCACCTAGCTTCCCTTTTGGTAGATCAAATTTACGTTCCATGTAGTAGTTGATCAAGCTAAAGGGGACCATCCCCGAGCCCAAAGAATCGAGGAAGAACAAGCTGCAGAGTTTAATAAGAACAATGCGACTCGACTTGGAGATCTTGCTTAGGGAATGCCAAAACTTCTTAGGCTTTTTGGGGGCTGCGTCTCGAGTTGCAGTATCTCGACTCTCTGTTTCGTCATTGTTCAGCAACGGCTCGGTCTCAACTGATACAGCAGACTTGTTCCGTTCATCGTTCCAGTCGCTGTGCTCGCATCTCTGGCTCAGGAACAGAGTCATCAGCGCCTTGACACACCCGACCCCAGTGTAAATCCAGAAGATGGCGCGATACGCATCCAGATCCGTCCAACCCTCGATAGCCTGCAGGTTGTCGACCGCAACACCACCAACTGCCAACCCCGTTGACGTGCCCAGTACAGCCAAGACGACATACCAAGTGTACACGTCCGACCTCTTGTCCTCGGCTACCAGGTGCGCTAACGTCGACTCCTCCACAGCTCTGAACGGCCCGATCTCGTTCCCACTAGGACTGATGACACCGACGATGGCTGCTAGAAGCAAAGCCACGTAGTTGCTTGTTGTTGCGAAAACAGCGCCGGATATTGCCATGGACACGGCTCCAAGGAGTAATGTCCGGCGCCGGCCTAGCGTATCCGCGACAAGTGTGAGGAGGAGGCTGATGACTACATCTCCGAGCAGCGTCAACGACATGAAGAGTCCGATTTGTTCATCTGAGAATCCTTGCTCTTGGAAAAAGAGTGCGAGGATAAGTGCCACGCTCCCGTATGCAAACAGACGGATGTACCGTGCCAGAATGAGGATGTAGACGTCTTTTCCAGCATGCTTCATTGTCGCGAGTCCCAGTTCGCGGCCGAGCCATTGTGCCGCTTTGACAGGCGCATCACGAACAGACATGCTCCGAGGTTCGGGATAGGGTGGGTATTATGAGCGTGGCGGAGTTGGTACACCTGGACTCTAAGACATTAAGAAGGCCAGAAGTTTTGTAGAAGGAAAAAAGAAGAGAAGAGGCTCTGGTTATGATTGCTTTTCCGAAGCCATGACGGACCGGAGTGTTTAGTGCTGCCTGGAGGCCTGGGGCCTAGTCGAGTTTCGCGTCATACGTCAGCGCCTGCATTTTACCGGATGCGGGAAGGAGCGAAGGGTACTCGGCATCCATACATGTCAAAGGGCGCATCAAGGGCGCAAATCAGTTGTCACAATATCACGCAGAGATCTTGATAAGTAGGACGTTAGCATCGAAGCTGTTGTTGAATCTTATCCATCAGTCGTGTGGTGGCTGAGCTGGCGTCTTCACATCACTAAAGCGCAAGTTTGTGTTTGTGGAACAGGCATCAAAGATCTAGGAGATGAAGTCTGATTGCCCATATTAAAGAACACCTGAGACACCGAAGGGAAGAGACCTAGTGGCCACCACAAATTGTAATGCAGACACCAGCACATCCCAGAAATCCAAACGAGAGCCCCCATTCTATGCGATCGGATGTCGCCATGCTAGCGCACAACTTCGGGATGGAAACGTGGAGGTGGTGACAAATGGGAGACATGGCGGTCATGTATCAGTGAGCATTATCGTAGTACTGCACCAACCCTCGCATGGCGTAAAGGCGGGAGCTCAAACACCCACGCCGTGCATTGCTCATCCGTAGACACCGGTCCGTTCTCCGACACATAACAACTCTTCCTCTTTCTCTAGCAGCAACCACCGCCGGATCCGTTTTGGACACCCTGGCCCTGGCCGATGGGGACTGTGGGCTTGGTGTTGGCGGTTGTGGTACCCATGCGCTCCTTGATCTGGCGGGCCATGGTCAGGAAAGCTTGCTCGACGTTGGTGGCGCTCTTTGCGGAGGTCTCGAGGAAGGGGATGCCGAGGCTGTCTGCGAACTCCTGTTTGAGCTGTTAGATGGTGTGCGTCCTCTGGGGTTAGCGAGATGACGGTACCTTTGCTACGGTGTACTCGACAACCTTCTTGTCCGCCATATCGGACTTGTTGCCGACCAACAGCTTGTTGACGCCCTCGGTTGCGTATCGGTCAATCTCCTGCAGCCACTGCTTTACGTTGTTGAAAGAGTCCATGTCGGTGACATCGTAGACGACGCAGATGCCGTGGGCGCCGCGGTAGTACGAGGATGTGATGGTTCGGAAGCGCTCCTGGCCGGCGGTATCCCACTGCGATGACTGTCAGCACTCACACCCAGATGCTGCATTCTGCAGTGTACGCACAATCTGTAGCTTCACCGTCTTGCCATCGAGCTCGATTGTTCGGATTTTCTGGGGCTTGTTAGACTATCGCCGACCGGGGCTGCAGGTGCGCGGGACAACGCACAAAGTCGACACCGATGGTCGAGATGTAGCTCTCGGTGTATGTGTCGTCGGCGAAACGGAGGAGCAGGCACGACTTTCCGACACCAGAGTCACCGATGAGGAGGAGCTTGAAGAGGTAGTCGTATCTGTCGAAGCGAGCCGTCAGCGGGAGCCTTGCATGGCAAGACGGGCAGCACCAGGGCTGCTGTCGATGGCAAAAAGTAACTCTGCGGGTCTTCACGTTAGCACAGTCGCACCCCCAGATCTGGCGGCGCTGTTCCCCGGCCTGTGGCGGTGGGCGTCGCGCGGAGGTTACGTACCACTCAGGGTTCATGATGGCGGTGTTGCGGGGGTGGAAAGAGGGAAGAGACTAAGAGATGTAAGTTGGGGGTGGTCAGAGGCAGTCGTTGTGGGGTATCGCGGGTCGTCGAGGCGGACGGTGTTAAGTAGAGGGTGATGGGGTGCAATGCGCGGATACCAGATGTGAATAGCTTGGCATTCAGCCAGGCCCAAATCCGTGGTCACAAGTTGCCGTAGCTTGTCGCGCCATCAACATCACATTCACGCCTGCTTATCTGCCGCCTAGCTTTGTCCAGTGAGGCGCCCGCACGCCGTCTGACGTCTGACTCTGCTTTGTCTTGTTGCCAGTGAAAGACAGTCGCAGATCACGCATCATCATGTACAGTGCCAGGTGGGTGCCATCAGTGCACCCACGTGACAGCCGCCAGGGTCCACCGCCCCAGTCACTCAGCCATGGCACGCATCACCACCATCGATTACGAGTAGCCTTCACCTACTGATCATGGAATGGAGAATGTGTCATTCGTTTGCAGCAGTGTGCGGTCCGTCGTACGTCGTTGCCTTTGACGTAGCCCAACCTGCCAGCTCTAAAGCACCGTAACCCGAAACCCCCATATAGTACAGACATCAGGACAAGTTCATCGCTACATATTACATTATTTTGCCGAAAGCAGGGATCAGTGTTTGGGCCAACCAGAAGGAGAAGACCAGCTTGGGTCCTGTCATGAGCAGCTTGGGCGTCAGTCCCTTGAAGAAGGACGTGGGACCCTCGTGCTTCATCATGTTGGACACGATCCTGAAGCCGCTCTCGGGGTTCTCAAAGTTCCTGTTCTGGATACGCGTCTTGATGACATCGAGAGGGGCAGAGACGACAAGCGATGCGCTGGCTCCGGCGATGGAGGCGACAAAGTTTTGCGACCATGAGGCCGAGTTGTAGTCGGTGAGTTTGTAGAAGTACTCCTTGGCGACAGCGGATCCACCGAAGAGCTGGAGGTGTGTTAGTATTCGGATAGCTGTAAGCAGAGTGGTGTACATACTGCGAATGATCCTGGAGCGTTACGTGCTGCCGTCCATCCCCAACCACGGTACAGCCCGAGCCCTTCGTCGGAGATGATCTTGAACAGCCCACGGCCTCGGAAAGCCTCAGGGTTGGTTTGTCGCTTGATCTTGAGAACATCCAATGGCAGGAGGACAATCTCACCGATACCGATTATGGAACCGGCAGTCGCGTGCATGATAGCCTTGCCGTTGCCCTTGCCGAATGCGCGGTCGAAGCTGTCACCGTGGTTGTGGGCGAGGTAGTCGCGTACGAAGGGCTGTCCGCCGAACTTGTATACTCGTTGGAGGATCTGTTCCTGTCAGTCCGAGTTCCTGTGTGCTTGCACTTTTCCACGCACCTTGTATGCGGCGGCATATCCGAGACCGGGGAACAGTGAGAAGAATCGCCCAGAGACTGACGCGCCGGCTGCGTCTCTGAAGACGACCTTGTTGAGATGTGCAGCGTTCTCAATCTACATGTGTTCGAGTCAGAGGCCGTCGGGGTATTGTATGGTCCACATGTCGCACCTTGCCAATGTTGCTCATCAACCGCTTCGCCGTCGTGTCGACCGGGTGGAAGACCATGAGCTCTGCGATTCCCGCACATCCTGTGCATGTCAGATATGCTATATTGACTCCAGAATGGCCGATGTACCTGCACCCAGGACCCTAGCTGTGTTGGACTCCCTCTTGTACACCTTTGCGGACGAGTTGGTGCCGGCAGCGGCTTGCGCAACCTTTGCGGCGGCTTCAGAAGGTGATGGCGTCATGGTCGAGGATTTCAAGCAAAGCAGAAATGGACAATTGACAGGTGTGAGAGGGAGCAACAGCGCAAGGCAATTGCGGTACCGAGCAGTGAAGAACGGGAGCTAGAGATAAGATGCCCAACGATACCCGCTCTCAAAAAAAGTCGTCGGGGAAGCGAGTTCAACGTCCGGCATCGCCCCGCCAAGCACCACGCCGCTACCACACGCGCCCCCAGACGCGAAACTTTGTCCCTCCATCCCGACACGCACCGGCAGCATCACATCACGCGATTGAGGAGCACTCCGCCTGCTACACGTGAACTCTGCCTCGCGCAGCATAGAAATCTGTCAAGTCGGAAATTTGCAGTCGGCACGTGACGCGCATGATGAAGCCCGAGTCCTCAGATCGTAAGTAATTGACTAACTAGCTAACCACATCATACAAGAAGATTTATACGAAACAATAAACGCCCCTGTTCTACGCGCAATCAAATCCAGAATGAAAGGCTGTGCGCCTATCCTTTCCTCTCTGCAACCAAGCCAGCGAACTCGCCTAGCGACGGTGTCTGTAGAATCTCGAAGATACTGACTTTAGCTTTGACAACGCTACCCAACCAGTTCCGGAAGTCTACAGCAACCAAGGAGTCGACGCCGATGCTTGTGAGCGCATCAGCAGTGTCGATGGCGCTCGTCTCCAGATTGAACAAGTCGGCAACCTTGGCTACTAGCAGGTCTGTGACGACCTCCTTCGCTTTGCTGTCACCCGCCGACAGTGCCGATAACTGAGATATCAGTCCATCGATGTTCTTAGAGGACTCAGACTGTCCCTGAGCTGAGGCTTCTATCGCGGTATCATCGCCCAGTCGAAGAGTTCCCAATCGACGGTCATTCTTCACCGCTGGATCGTCTACCAACTTGCTGTATCCAGTGATACACGTAATGATCTGACTGTTTTCTGCCCGGCGTCGATTTGGGTTCCTGATTGCATCCTCGAACAATCGCAATACATGGGCAATCGGAAGACATTTCATGCCAAGGGCCTTCTCCACGCGGTTCTTCACCACATCGCCTCCTTGTGCGACATATCCGACATCGTCAATAGGACCAAGATCAATCGTCACAGCGGGCAGGCCAAGGGAAGTGCGGTATCGCGCAATCGCGTCCTGGAACGTACCGCCAGCGGTATAGTTGCTCTGTGACACGTTGCCGAGAACTGCCGTGGCGGAAGAGGTCGTGATGAAGAATTGAAGGTCAGGCAGGTTGTTGTGAAGGGCCCACGTACCAGTGACCTTAGGGCCAATGGCCTTCTGCCACTGCTCGAAGGTCATGCTTTCGAAGACAGTGTCATCAAGGATTGCAGCAATCTGAAGAACTCCACGGATCGGAGGTAACTCTGCCTTCACGTCTGCGAGGAGACTACAGACCGCTCCTTCGTCAGCAATGTCGCAGTTGCGAAGATGAACGTTGCAACCGTGCTCTTGCCCTTGTTCAACCAACGCCAACCCTTTCGGATGAGCGACAGCATTGCGGGAGACGATCAACAGATTCTTGACCCCCTGTTCCAACATCCACGAAGCAGTGGCAAGTCCGATGCCTCCAAGACCCCCGACGATCATGAAGGTAGAATCTGGAGCGTCTAGCCCAAGCGATGTTTCAGCCTTCGGGACGACATGAACCTCGTCACCTGGCTGTGGCAGGATCACAGCACTGCCCATGTAGCTCCCACCTCGGACATACTGGAGCGCTTCATGGATCTCGGCCAGCTTGAAAACCTTGATTGGTGTCGCGGGTCTCGCCTCTTTGTGCTGCAACAATTCGATGGAGTTCGCCAATGCCCTGTGGAACATGGCGCCTCTCATCTCGCTGTACTGGAGGGTATCAAGACCAGTCATAGACACTCCGCGGCCAAAGGGCGACATGTCAAGATGCTTTGCCTTCTCGGTATCAGCCTTACCGATCTGCACAAAGCGACCAAATGGTGCAGTGCACTCCCAGGATGCCTTCAGCAACGGCCCAGTAACTGAGCTCAGCGTCACATCAACTCCCTCGCTGTTTGTCTGAGACATGATAGCAGAAACGAGAGAGGCGGCTTCATCCTGCAGGATATGGCTGGGGGCGATGTTGTAATCTTCCAGCAGAACTCGACGCCCTTCGTCTGTTCCGCAAGTGACGAAGATCTCGGCTCCGATGTTCTCCGCCAGTGCAAGAGCAGCCTGGCCCACACCTGCCGTACCAAAGTGTAACAATACTCGCTCATGCTTCTGAAGTCTTGCGATGTCGCGCAAGGCTAAGCAAGCGGTGGAGTATGCATATGGGGTGGACGCGGCTTCCTCCCATGTAAGCTTGTCGGAAACCTTGACGACGTTGGTCCAATGAGCGCGACCGGCGTTGCTGATAGGTCCTTTGAAGATGCCGCACACTCGATCTCCAACGCGAAGTCCAGAGTCTCGTGTGTCCGGGCCAAGGTTCCTGATGATACCGCTGCTCTCATGCGCAACCGATTCGTCGTCTTCACTCGCCCCTACAATGTTCAGCCCAAAGGCTTTCGGTTCGATCTCAACAAATCCACTCGGCAGATCATCCACCGCATCAGATGTATCCACAAAGCAGGACTCTGCGCCAGATGTACCGCTGCCTGATGGTTGTAGGACGAGTGATTTGCCGGCGTAGCTGAACTCCTGCAGCTGAAGAGGTTTTGCGCCTCCGCTGACAGCCCGATCCTGTTCGAAATCCGGATGGATGCGGGGAACGTACAGGTTCTGGTCTTTGGCGGAATATTCCCAATCAATATTGACGTTCTCAGATGTGCTGTAGTCAAAGCTTTGCTTAAACACATGCGCAAGCATCAGGATGGTCTCGCTTGGCAATGATTGTTGGGGTGGCTCGCATGCCAACCGAACATATCGTGTGCTTGGATCTTCGCGTCGTAGAGTTCTCAAGAGACCAGTCACCTGCGCAAAGCGTGGATCTTCATCGTCGACAGCTCCACCAAAGCTCAGCCAAAGAATGCCCTTGGACCGAAGAAGGAGACCTCGGAGCTTTTCAAACGCACCGCGATCCATCGTATCGATGAAAGGTGTGCCATTGTCGAGCGCGATGATGAGCAGACGGTCACTGTCTGCCTCAACTTCATCGAGAGTCTCCACCGAGGGAGCTGAACCAGTAACGTGCTGCACGGCTCCTGACACTTGATCCAGCCAGGCTTGAGGTTCCGAAGCTGACGGTACGACAATGGAAATTGAAGACGGAT